TGTACCGTAAATATCTCCACAGAACCCGTCCTATGGTAGTAAGGAAGTGCGATCATTGTGGCCACCTCTTTTCAACGAGCGAGCATGTAATGGTTTGAAATGTTCTTGCCCAAGCAGCGGGATACACGTATCACAAGGGCAAAATACCCTTCAATGCATGAGTACAAACACAAAAAATTCCTCCAAACATGCCACGGAAGTAGCCTACGAAACTGTTCCGTCTTGGTCTGTGGTAATTTGGCCAGGTATTCTCAACCGGTGATACACATGTCAATCAATCACCTCGAGCGTGCCTTGCCGCGCCGCGGACGCGCCGCCTCCGCCTTCCACCTTCGACAACGTTTCCCTGATCACGACACAAGAGGAGAAACATACGGACGGATTATCTCGCACATCGTCTCGCAGAGCTGTCTTGTTTGCGTTCGTTCGACGGCATGCTCCAAGGTCTGGCTTCATCGAGTCAACGAAACACATGGCCATCCACGAGTGCGAGCGGGAGGCACAACGTCCACGTTGCCAGGACCCTGTCCTGGATGGCCGTGTTTTCCATCGACTCGATAGGAGCTCCAGACAATGAGCACGCCGTCGAACACGAACAAAAAGAGCTGGACATGGCCACGGAACGCGACACGGCCCACGAGACGGGCGAATGCTAAGCAGGGTGCCGTGACTCTTCTCGTGGGAATTAGGGAGGGCAGTAAGTTTCGGCGTTCGGCCCAGGCAGTCCACCCATCAAAAAACGGCCGCCATGTTACCAAGAACGTCTTTGTTTTGAACGAGCTAGCTCACCGACGCTGCGCAAGGCAAAATTCTTCTCAGAAATGGCCAAAACCGGTGAGGGGACACACACTGTGCGAATACAACACGGTGCCTGCTGTGAAATTCAGCGTCTCAGGCGTGTCGGAATGGGAGCGGGGCACACTATACCCTTCACGATGTCGGTGTAAACGTGAATGTTTCAATCGCCTCGACGCACGATGCGATCAGGAACAATCCGGCTCGCAGGTAACGGGAAAAGTCGGGTGCCCTCCATAGCGCGGGTCAAAAAGCGTAGGTGCCCCGTATGATGGCGAACTTGGCTGGCACATATGGAATAATAATAATCAAGATGGTTAGTGTAACGAATAGAAAGCGCTTGGCACATACCCGCACGATAGAGGGCACCCAACTGTCACGTTTTACTTCACCCATGCGCGCGGATGATGACAATCCAACCGAAACGCGTGAGCATAGCAAAAGAGCACGGTTACAATCAAACTAAAAAGACGTGAGCACAGCAAAAAGAGCACGGACCTCATCTCCTCCTCCAGCTGTTGGCGAGCGCTTTCGCCACGCTCAAGCGACCGGCAAGCCATGATCACCTTGGCCCCGGCTTTGGCGAGGTTAAACGCAGTCCTGCTGCCAATCCCTGGGAAAATTCGCCATACGGCAGTCGTTCGTGGTGGGTGAGATGCAAACACGGAAACCATGATGCAGGGTGTCCAGACAGCAATATGCACGGAATGTTTCCCGATAGTGTTGAGAAAAGGGGGCACCACGTGCATACTTGCTGTCTACCACACTAAACCACAAGTTTGAAAATCTGTTCTTAGTCCCCGACCATTGTTTGTACGTTGGAGGCCGAATCCAACCCGGATCTTTCGCCACCATATTTAGACATCTCATCGTCACGACACTAATGTGAAAAGAGGGAATCATCCTTGACAGACGTTGGGGGAGATGTGACCCCTTGAAAAGGGTCAATTCCACTGCACTCTGTCGTTTCATGGCACGCCAACTGTCCGGACGGCAGAAGCGATTCAACCACGGAATTTAACAACGCCTCAACCCACAATCATGCAAGCGCTTGACAACCAAGCACCCTGGAAGCTCGAACCAACAGAGACAGTGCAGGGCTTCTCTCGAATTTTCTAGTTTTAAACAATGCGGCCCAAGCCAATCAAGCTGAAAGATTCTTGCACATCACGCTCAGAGTCATGCATGTTAAAAAAAGGCACAAATGATGGCCCGCTTTTATTACCGTTGGGCTCTGCCGAGCCAGACGGACATGTGGCTAGCATCTCGATGTGCGCTGCCTGCTGGCATTGCAAAGCAGCACTGGGCATCTGTGGCTGCTTGTCCTAACACCTCCTACAGAAGTGATACGTGGTCTCTGTCAGAGCTGCAGGAGAGGTCCTTCGGCGACATCGTCTACGGCGGGAAATTGTATCGCGAGCGGTCCCCCCCAAGCTGGACGGCTAAAAACACCAACACGAGATACATATCTCGCGCTAGGGGACACCCTCTATGTGCATACGTACCGATATTTTGTCTTTTTTCTTAAGGGGATAAAACGCATTCCACACCGACAATAACTCACCTGTGTTCGCCCCTGTCACGATCACCACCCGCCCTGGAGCACAGCATGACACACAGATAGGGCAGGGGGATGGCGACACAGCGGTGAGTTTCTTTAGTTTGTGGGCGAGCTCGGCACGCTGGTGTCTCTTATTTGTTGTATCCCCGTGTGCGCCAGCTCGGGTGCAACGGGTAACGTACCAAGACTGCACTAGGCTGATGTTGCTCGGAAGACTGATGTCCGTCAGCATTACTTGGGGTTGACCACTGGGGGGGGGGGCGTACTCTTATGCTTTGCATGCCTTAGCGGTTAGACCATTGACCACGCGTCCTCGAGAGGACGGAGCATTGTTCCCACAGGACCGATCACCGATGGTCAATCGTTCCTTCCTACTTTGCCAAAGGTGGCTCAAAAATGTCTTTCCTAGTCTGTCTATCCTACCGATGTCACTTCCCGCTTTTTCAAACCACTTTCTACTCCCCAGTACCGCTACCGTCCTCTCCTCTCTATTCCATGCCTCAAACATCTCCCTGTACGTCCCTTGTATTCTTCCCAGCTCAGTCATGTACACTTCCCTCTCCTTTTCGTACCACGGACATTCCGCGACTACATGAACACTGTCTTCGCATTCGAAGCCGCAATCGCATTTGAACTTGTCGTCTTCGTCGTCTACCGTCCTATGTCTTCGTCGACGTTCGCGAAGGCCTATGTCCCCGGTCCTGAATTTGACCTTAAGCTTTGTCCCTGCATCCATTGGTCCATGTAGGTAATCCTTGAACCCTATTCCTTCTTTCAACATTCCGTACACTTCTAGACCCTCCTTATCCTTGGTTTCTTTCCTTAGATTCTGTTCTTCTCTCTCGGCACAAGCAACAGATATCTTCTTCTTGAACCCCTGTAGACCCTCCGTTTCCAGCGTTTCATATTCGTCGATGTCCAATCCCTTCCATACGTCCTCTACAACCTTGACCCATTCCGTGGGTTGTCTACCCCTCTTTTTGTTTGCCCACTTCGCCTCCCATACTATTCTCGGCAACCTCTCCTCTCCCATCCCGCACATGCGGTACTGCCATGTCAGCTTCCTTACGTCTCTTCCCGACCGTAGGGATTGGATCCCCAATTCTGCCCTGACTGCTGCATTACTTGTGCGCTTGGAGCATCCTAGGATGATTTTCGCTGCTTTCATCTGCGCCGCCTCGAGTTCTTTCACTACCTTCTTATTTCCTTCCCATACTTCTCCGGCGTACTCCAGCGGCGGTACGATTACGCTCTTCAAAACCGTCAGTTTGATGCGTGTATCAAGGTGCCGGTTTGCGAGTATTGGGTGCAGCTTCCCTGCTCGTGCTTTGCCCTTTTCCGCTACCTTGGACATGTGTGCATTCCACGAGCAATTTTTTGCGATCTCTACTCCGAGGTATGTGTACTGGTCCACTACTGCAATCTCCTCGATCCCCCACTTCCATTTATGTTCTACTGGTTCCTCCCTGCCCTCGTTGCATACCATGACGGCACTTTTCGTAACGTTGGCAGACAATCTCCACTTATCAGTAAACTTTTTCGCCGCGTCAATTTGCAGTTGCAGTCCCTCAGGGGTGTCCGACATACCAACAAAGTCATCCGTTGACCACTGGGGGGGGGGGGCATTGTTTCGCCGGTACTACTTGCATGCGTGCGATGCTCGTGGGGTGTACGGGTTGAAAAATAGCCTCGACTGCACTCTCCGGCTGACCATTAGAATGACGCCGCCAGCCTGAGCCGAGACAATCTAAGGGCGTTGTTTCGGAACGATTGTTATAATATAAGTATCAGGGAGCAAGGGTCGGGTGGGGGTGCTCGACCCTTGCTCCCTGATACTTGTAGCTTCAGTCGAAACTACAGTACGTGATTTGCACTACAAGCGCCGTCCACCCCCTTACAGCAACCGCTAAGAACAACAGAGACCTGGCGTGCCGGCCAGAGTTTGCCGCGCGCACGCATACACAGCGGCGCTCACCCCCGTCGGTCGGCCGTAAAGACGGGGGGGAGGGTGATTTCAGGCGTCAGTACATTTTGCGCGTCCATATTCTTCCAGCAAAGTATCTACTACGCAATTGACCCCAGTAGCAGTTCTCAGGGATATATGGCCTTGCTGAACGCATGCCTATTTCGTACACTTCAAAGTATACCTGTGTGCATGCAGGACTCGATGTCCTGACAGGTAGAGATGAAAGGTGTGCCAGTTGCTGCCTCCCTATGCATACTGTAGATGCCTAGACGACATTTTACCTGAGAGGTCAACATCCGGCGGTAGCGGCGATGTCGCGTCCTTCCCACGAAGCCAGGCAGCAGGCCTGGAAACAGCCGACCATAGGACCGCAACAGGTAGCATGGTCGCAAACACGGCATCGGCCAAAGGCATCGTCGACACGGCAGTAACGGCGGAAGAGGGAGGCAGGTAACGTGTAACGTGTAACGTGTAACGTGTAACGTGTAACGTGGCAGCTGAGCTGTGTGAGCTGGCTCCAGGGTGTCGTTTGGGAAGCACGACAGACAGTATTTATTTGGGGGGGGCGTATCACAGGACTGTCAGAAAGAGCGAGCCAGCGGCACGCCGGCACAGCGCCCCAGCCGCAGCTGGTCTAAGGAGTCGACAGGTGAACGTGCAGTGCACGTTCGACGACAGCGATACGTGCCAGACCTATCATCCAAGGTTATGAAGAACCTCCCGCTGAATACTGCTGGTGAAAAAGTGTCTACGGCGTTTGCCGCTGGATTGTTGGTTGGTGCTGCTGGTGTCGCAGCAGCGGCGCTCGCCTTGCGCGGACGGGTCGCCTTGGCTTCGCACCTCCAGCAAAAGGTATGCGGTGCAGACGTTGCGCCCAAGATACCGAGGCGTAAGCCACACGCTACAGTGATTGTTTTTTCCGACGTATTTCATTCCTGTTTCTTTCTCCCGACTGGACCTGCAAACTTTGCATCTACTAGTTGTATGCATAGGGCCTGGCGCGAGAGCGCGATCAGGCAAACCCGAGAATGTAGTCGGTACTACTACACAGCAGTAGTTCACATGGTGCATGTCAAGGTAATTTGAGTACACCTGCCGTAGCACGCAAAGAATGCCCAGCTAGTCTTTCGTCTGGATTATCTTGCATTGTCATATACCGATGTGCCTCGTAATATACATAAAACAAGCTGATGATAAGACATGCACCGATAGTAGTATATCCGCTACGTGTGCATATGTGACACTGGATATCACACACCCCGACTCTCAAAGCTCGAAATCTTCCAGAATAGCAGAACGAGTGGCAGGGTGCAACGACGCCATTGCTTTTCCCAGTTTATTTCTTCATGTAGGCCCACAACATTGGTCGTCCCCTGCAAGGAAGTCACTTGGTTGGGAGCCCATGGCATGTCACGCCCATCGTACGATCCCTCGCCATCCGAAACGTGACCGTCCTAACTCTTGGGAATGTTGCTGCTGTAGGCTTGTAGGTGTTCCGAGTATGACAGACCACACGCAAATTTGTCTACGACATGACATAGCGACATTGCCAATATTAATATTTGGAGTATTCAAGCTGACTACCAAATGCTGAAACTACGTTAGTGCCAAATATTTCAACACCAACACCCGTCGAAGGCGACGCGACCAGGCCGGCAAAGGCTAGTTACTCCACGCCGCTTGTTGTGCGTCGCGAACGACTTGACTCGATGGCATGGTGGCATCTGGCTCGCTGGGGACGAACGCTGCTGGAGGGTTGCACCGCAGCAGCACGAACAATTCACCGCAACAGGAGATCCCCCAGTTCACCCGCAACGTGCATCATCACAGAACGGCATGCCATGGGACCAGTCTCTGAGACTTCGTTTTCGGCTACGGCCGATACGCAACCTCGCGGGTCGCTACTGCTGTTGTCTGAGTTTGGCGAGCTTGCGTATAAGTCGCAGCGAAAACGAGACGGCTCAGGGACTGGTCCAACGGCATGCCGTTTGGGGGCAATATGCATACGAATGCACGATGATGTGCACGTAGCTGATGGGGGGGGATCTCTAGTCACGGTGTGTTTCTGGTGAGTGCTAGCGCTGCCCCAGTGTACGCCTCCAGCGTTGGTCCCCAGCGAGCCGGACGCGACCATACCGTTGAAGAAAGTCGTTCGTGAGGCACAACAAGCTGCGCCGAGTATCTAGCGCTTGCCGGCCCGGCCGTGTCGTTCATTGACGGGTGCTGGGACGGTCACGTTGGATGGCGAGGACACAGCAGTAGTACGTGTCGTGGGTTCCCGACCAAGCGGCTTCCTTGCTGGTGTCGACTAATGGTGTGTGTGTGTGTGTGTGTGTTCTCGCTTGAAGATGAGGCTGGGCACAGCAGTGGCACCGTTACAACCCTGCAGAGAGTGCCCCGAGTCGTTGTTGGTCGTTTCTCATGGAGGGGCGTGTGGCCGGCTTCGTCAAGCAACGCCATGGACTGTTTCCCCCAGCCGGCGAGGCAGCGCATTGTCACGGTGACGATCGCAGGGAGTGTCGCAGTCGTGCGCAAGCCAAGGGGCGTACAAGCGTCCCACTCCGTACCACGTTCCGAGAACCATCAGGGTTTTTTTCACCGGCCTGCAGCTAGCCCTTATATTGTCACCGCCCGGCACGCACCCCGCCCCGCCTGCCCCGCCCACGCACGCTGGCTGAAGGAGGGTGAGCTCGAGGCGAGAGCGGCCAAAATCCGCCAGCTGGACAGGCAGGTTGCCGAGGAGGGGCGGCAGCGGGCCGAGGAGCGAAGAGGGCGCACCGAGGCAGAGAGACGCCTCCGCGCGGAAAAGCAAGTGAGTGTCTCCATGCGTTCCATTCCGCCTGCCGCGCGCTTGGTAGTTTCTCGGGTTCTGCGTTGTTGACCGGTGGGTGCGCGCCCTTTTTTCTCGGGACCGAGAGGAAAGGCCATCCGTCGTGCCGACCCGTTTGTGTCGTACCCTTCTCCCTATCATCCAACCACCACTGCACATGTCGCGTCTACCCATGATTGCGTGCGACCCCTTTGTCAGGAAATGGAAGAGGAGGACGGCTACAATTTCACGGCGATCGGGACTATCAGGTGGGCGGCTTGTGACGGCGCCCTGGCCTAGAACTGAGAACAAAACCACGCCGATTGTACTCGAGCTGTTCAAATGATTTAGCTAGGATGAGGTATACTTATCGTCTTGACTGAGTTCTGCTTTTTTTTCTTCCGTCCCATCTTGTTTTGGCGGTTCACCGGCCCCCTCCTCGTCCTGCTTGAGCTCTGACGAAACATTTGCTTGCGCTTCTCTCTCTCTCTCTCTCTGCCCCCCCCACCCCCCACTTTCCTTATTTTTCTCTCTTCCCT